TATTTGTGGTCATTCCTTCTGTCTAGTGGACTAAACTAATTGACCAATTCAAGGGCCAGGTGAATGAGGGTGTATGGTGAGATTTCGAACACTCTGATTAGTTTCTCAAATACAAGGGTTTTCTACAAAGGTAGATACATGTTACTCTGTGTGACAAGGAGGCAAATCAGCTTCTAATGCCAATCTAACTCTAGAATTTTAACACTTTACTCTGAATTACCTCAACACTTGAAATTTAACACCAATGAATTTGCTGTGTATGTACATTAAAAAAAGACCATGATCATATGATAATGAAAATGTGTGTAAATGATCAACCCAGCAGGCTGAGCACACTGTAACATGTCTTAAATATTGTTTTAGTCATTCTAAAATGCCTTAACTGTTTCAGTATTATTGTATATTATTAATTACCTCCGAACGTCTGGTGCGTGTCAAGAGTCTCCGTGTCTCATGGCTTCAGACGCCCCCATGTGTTCATTGTGTTTCAGCATTGTCTTCTGACATCGAGGCGCAAGTACATTAATTAGGCTAAATAAAGAATTAATTGACGCAGCTTCTTCTACCACAGTAAATTCTGTTTTTACTGTTGATATTTGGTGCCAGTTTAATCAGGAAGTGACAATTTTTTTCTCTTTGACTCGTTGGATGGAATTTTATTCGCATCTTTTATGCAATATTCCAGTTTTGCACATACATTTATGTAATATATTTGGTGGAAACATAGCTATTGCCTACATTTTAGTCACACACAGAAGAACTGTACAAGAATGGCTTATCCTTTTTTAATAAATAATTAAATTAAATTCACCTTCGACATGCATTGTAACTAGATTAATGGGATTATTATTCTTTCTAAAAATTATTTTTAGTACTGCTTACCTTCTAAATGTTATATTAACCTATATCACTTGATCAATAAAAAAGGCAGACACACAAGTGCACTGTTAAATCATTTAAAACTAATAAATGTATAAAAGTTAGTTTAGAAAAAATATATAAACGTCACAAATTACATTACTTATTTTATTATACTTAAATATTTAAATACTTAAAAAGTGAAATTAGGCATTAACTTGAGCAGCTGTTTTCCCACGCTAACTGTCTCTTCTTCACTGATGGTTGCTTCTTTTCAAATATATACGCTCATATTTGCTATAACTTTGCATGAGAACATCAAGTTCAGCTGGAGAAAGAAATGGTGATCTCTTTTATAAGTAATTGCCATAGTCACTCGTAATGTCTGCGCTCCATTGATAATGCCTTTTTAAAGTCACGGTGCGCGCGCTTAAATCTGAGTTGGTCTACTCGAAGTTGATTGACCCAACTCAGATCAGCTATTCTGAAACCGAAAACTCAGAGTTTTTAATCTCTCTGTAAATCAACTCAGAGTTCAAGTTTAAACTCAGAGTTGTTTAAACCTCCTTACTGAAACAGGCCCCAGGTGGTAATACAGCCACACAGGATGCTCCCCACAGTGCAGGTGTAGAACGAGCGGAGGATGTGAGGGCTTATTCCAAACCTCCTGGGACGCCTGAGGAAGAAGAGGCGTTGTTGTGCCTTCTTTAGCACTGCCTCTGTGTGAGCAGTCCATGTCAATTCCCCAGCAATGTGTACTCCAAGAAACTTGGAAGTGCTGACTCTCTTCACTGGTGTCCCGTTGATGGTGATGGGGGTGTGTTCTCTATTCTCTTTCCTGAAATCCACCACCAGCTCCTTGGTTTTGCTGATGTTGAGTGAGAGGTGGTTTTCCTCACACCACTGCGTCAGAGTGTGTATCTCCTCTCTGTAGGCCCTCTCATTATTATCTGTGATTAGGCCCACCACTGTCATCAGCAAATTTAACGATGACGTTGGAGATGTGTTTGGCTGTACAGTCATGTGTTTACAGGAAGTAGAGGAGTGGACTGAGAACACAGCCCTGTGGATCACCAGTGTTGAGGATCAGTGTGGATGAGGTTATGTTGTTCAGTCTGCTTGAAAGGAAGTCCAGGAACTAGTTGCACAGAGAGCTGTGTAGACCCAGAGCCTGGAGCTTCACCACTAGTTTGGCAGGCACTAAAGTGTTGAATACTGAGCTGTAGTCCACAAACAGCATTCTCACATAGGTGCTTTTATTTTCCAGTGAGACAGAGCAGTGTGCAAGGTGAAAGCAATTGCTTCATCAGTGTAGCGATTATTTCTGTAAGCAAATTGCAGAGGGTCAGTGTGAGCGGACAGTACAGAGCAGATGTGCTTTTTAATCAGCTTCTCAAAGCACTTGCTGAAGATGGGTGTCAGAGCAACTGGACGTCAGTCATTTAAGCATGTGGTTTTAGATTATTTCAGTATGGGCACAATAGTAGCTGTCTTAAAGCATGTGGGAACCACAGGCCGAGAGAGCGAGAGGTCTGGGACGTAGCTTTCAGGATGCTCTGAAAAGATCTCGTTACGTCCACTACAGAAATAAAGTCTGCTGGCTGTTTCGGTATCAGCCACGGAGCGCACAGTGTGTGGGTGCTGTCCTGGGCTTTAAAGCAAGTGTAGAACGAGTTGAGCTCGTCCGGGAGAGACGCAGAAATGTTTACTGTGGCGGGTTTGTTACTTTTAAAGTCCGTAATGTAATTAAGTCCCTGCCACATACTCCTCCCCTATACCTTGTACCTCTGTATTGATGTTTTGCTGTTTTGATAGTTTACCTGAGGTTGTAGTTTGCTTGTTTTTGTTCCTCAGCATTCTGGATTTATAGGCGGAGGTTCACACTGATAGGGCTGTTCGAACTTCGCCATTAATCTATGGTTTTGGGTTAGGGACAGATTTTAGGTCAGTTAAGATATGGACAGTTTTTGTTGGGACCATGTCTTCTATATACTTTCTGATGAAGCATGTAACGGTGTCTTGAGTAAACTTTAGGCCGTACTCACACTAGGTACAGTTGCCTCGAACTGGGCCAAACCATGCTTGTCCCCCTCCTGTCTCCCCCGACGGCCCGCACTCACACCACAAACGGGCCTCGGCACGCTTACATCATTGCTGCTGCACTGTTCAGTGAGAAGTGCTCTCACTCACTCAGTAGCACAGTGGAGATTTCTCTAGTTATATCGTTTCAGTCGTTTGATATGCAGTGACATGCAGTCAAATATTTCGCCAAACAGTCCTTAGGGATGCGGTGACACACAGTCAGATATTTCGCCGAACACATCCACCACTTTTGGCGCTTATAAACAGTCATAAAGCTCTCGTGCTGCAGGAATGAGGAGGTTTGCCGAAGGCGCGCAGCTGTCGTGCAGTGAGGTGTCTGCGTCTTTAATAAATTACGGCAGTTTGTGTTCACTGAACAGCAAGAATGATTAATAAATCCTATGAAACAGTCCCTTAAAGTCTCGTCTCGCTTTCAGTTTCGGGCTTTGGCGCGTTTTGCACTCACACTACAAACGTACTGCGCCAAAGCCCAAGTGAACCACGCTCAGGCCCACCTCTTCCAACCGGGCCAGGGCCAGCCAAGTGAACCGTGCTTGTGCCATTCAGCGCATTCACACTTCTCAAACAATCCGGGAAACGGGCCTGGGCATGGTACGGATGGCATAGTGTGAGTAGGCCCTTAATGTCGTCATCAGAAGCTGTCCGGAACATCTCCCAGTCCACATGATCAAAACATTCTTGAAGTATGGAATCCGATTGGTCCGTCCAGCTTTGAAACCTCTTGAGGGTGGGTGGTTCCCGTTTCAGTTTCTGCCTGTAAGCAGGCAAGAGCAGAACAGAAGAGTCATCTGATTTGCCAAACGGTGGGCGGGGGAGGAATTTGTTGGTGTCCCGGAACGGAGAATAGCAGTGGTCCAAAATACGGTCACCACGCATGTTTGTGGTGATATGGTGATAGTATTTTGGAGCAATTTTCCTGAGATTGGCGTTGTTAAAGTCCCCTGTAACAATAAACGCTGCCTCTGGGTGTGTGGTTTCCTGGTCGCTTATGCTCCCATTCAGTTCCCTTAGCGCCTGCTCTGTGTTGGCTTGAGGGTGGATGTAGACAGCTGTATTTATAACAGCTGTGAACTCTCTTGGTGCCCAGTGTGGTCGGCACCGAAGCATAAGGTTCCAGATCAGGAGAACAAAATGATCTAACGGGATGTATGTTTCTCAACCATGAGTTGTTGATAAAGAAAAACACCTCCTTCTTTGCTTTCCCCTGTCGGTTCTTTCATTCTATCCACAGTATCTTATCCATAATATTCTATCCATAGTATTCCCTGTCTGCTAAACAAATTTTAGAGAAACATTTTGTTGTAATTATGAATATATACAAATAAAAATAGGCCATTGTTACGTCCCCCTCGTTCGAGTTGCAACATAAAAGAGCTCAGACAACAAAAAAATTATATATGCAACTTATTTATTATACACAACTAATAAAGCAACAAATCAAGAAACAAACAAATGTCTAGGGGAAAATGAAGAAAATAACTAACTTTAACTACACATAAATAATGCCAAACAAAACCATAAGGTTGCCAAAATAAAGAGATGGTCTTGATGCGAGGACGGCCAGTAGCCACACTATCCTACAGAAGCTAGCTCACTCTCGCATTTATATGCTTTGAACCAATTGGGGAGCAACCATGGCACCTAATCAGGATCTGCCACATCCAAACTAGAATACTGGGGTCGTCACACCATTTATACCTTTCAAATCTGTGTCTTATCAATGTGACCAAAATTTCTTTTATGATCAATTATGTAAGAAACTCTAAAAACTGGACTGACACCGTTTCAATTTATTATAAGTTCTATGTTAAGCGGCTTTGACAGTTTACATTGTAAAAGCACTAGATAAATAAAGATGAATTGAATAGAATCTGCTTAAACGTGTACACGTTAATGGACCAAACACAATATGATCTGATTTATTTTACATTTAATGTGCATCAGAAATACAATGTGTGTAGCCAATGTTTCCAGTGTCTTTTCACTTTTCAGCTTTTGATGAGAGTTTTTAAGACTTAATGAAAACTTTTTTTTTTCAGACCTAATTAAAGAGAGTGAGGGGAGTAAAGAGGAGGAACACCATGTTAAAATTGAGGATGAAAATCATTTACAGACTGATGGTATTTTGAAAAGTAGAGACAAGAATCGTTTCACCTGCACTCAGTGTGGAAAGAGTTTTGGAGGAAATGGCAATCTTAAGATTCACATGATAATCCACACCGGAAAGAAACCATTCACATGCACTCAGTGTGGGAAGAGTTTCAGCCAATCGTCTCACCTTAATGACCACATGATGATCCACACGGGAGAGAAACCATTCACATGCACTCAGTGTGGGAAGAGTTTCATCCGGTTATCATTGCTTAATCAACACATGATGATTCACACTGGAGAGAAACCATTCACATGCACTCAGTGTGGGAAGAGTTTCAGGCAATCATCATACCTTAATGAACACATGATGATCCACACCGGAGAGAAACCATTCACATGCACTCAGTGTTGGAAGAGTTTCAGCCGCTCATCAGACCTTAATCTACACATGAGGATCCACACTGGAGAGAAACCATTCACATGCACTCAATGTGGGAAGAGTTTCAGCTGCTCATCATCCCTTAATAAACACATGAGGATCCACACTGGAGAGAAACCATTCACATGCACTCAGTGTGGGAAGAGTTTCAGCTGCTCATCATCCCTTAATAAACACATGATGATCCACACTGGAGAGAAACCATTCACATGCACTCAGTGTGGAAAGAGTTTCGGCCGCTCATCATACCTTAATCAACACATGAGGATCCACACTGGAGAGAAACCATTCACATGCACTAAGTGTGGGAAGAGTTTCAACTGCTCATCACACCTTAATCGACACATGAGGAACCACACTGGAGAGAAGCTATTCACATGCACTCAGTGTGGGAAGAGTTTCAGACAACCATCACTCCTTTATCTACACATGATAAGCCACAACGGAGAGAAACCCACAGCTTCGGTGTGGGATGAGTTTCAGCAACTCCTCAGACCTTAATAAACACATGATGACCACCACTGTAGATAAACCACTCACATGCACTCTGTGTGGGAAAAGTATCAACCAATCAGTAAACCCTAATGAACACATTAAGATCCGCTCTGGTGTGAAAGAGTATTTGTGCTTTGAGTGTGAGAAGACTTTTATTACAGCTCTAAAATTAAAACTGCACCAGACGTTTCACACTGGACAGTAGTGATGGGAAGTTCGTATCATTTTACTTACTCGGATCTTTGAGTCTCATTCATCAAGATGACAGAATCTTTTTTCGGAGTCACGTGACTGTATTGGCGGAGTAGCAGCTCAACATTTGGTCTCCGCAGCTCAGTGGTATATTTTTAGTATATAAAATAAGATATATAACGGCATATACTTTAAGACCTTGTGAATGGACATACGATCATGCCCACTACCCAGAAGAAGTTGAATCTGTCGGCTAAAACCTCTAAATCGACGGAGATTAAATCGCCTCAGGAGGACAGTCAATCAACGATCATGGCGGACCAGGCGTAGTCGTTGCTGAGCCGAGCTGAGACACACAGCTTGGTAGAAAGAATATCAACAGAGGTGCTTAAAGGTGTCAAAAGCTCGTTTGAAAAGAAAATCGACCCTGTTCTTAAGAAACTTGAGGAATGTTCCCCAAAAATTGGGACTTTGGACACGCGAATTACTGAGGTAGAATGCCGCGTATCAGACTCCAAGGATGCGATGACCACCTTTAGTGTGAAACTTACTGATCTCGCGGAAAAACTGGCGTCTGCGCTGGAAAAAAATAGACAATCTGGAGAACAGAAACAGAAGATGCAATGTGCTGGTCGTCGGTCTTCCAGAGGGATGCGAGGGCAGTAATCCGATCTCTTTTTTCAAATCCTGGTTACCAGAGCTGCTACAGGTCAGTTTCAAAGGTGAGCATGTTAAACTGGATCGATGCCACCGCGCCCTCACTCGCCGCCCACCGCCTGGCCAGCGACAACTTTCAGGATAAATTTCGGATCATGCAAGTGGCGAGACAAACGTGCACGCTGTCCTACAACGGTGCTTCAATTATGATATTCGAGGACTTTTCTGCGGCGGTGATGAGGAAAAGGCAGGAATTCTACCATGTTAAACAGCAGCTTAAAGAGAAGGGAATTGTCTTTGCCATGTTGTATCCAGCAGTTCTCAGGGTCAAGGTGAACGGTCAGGAGAGGTCTTTCAAGGACCCAAAGGATGTCACAGCATTTCTGGCGTCTGCCCCACTACAGAGCGGCTCACCTGACCGCACTGCTACTGACTGAGCATCCTTTTCCCATCCCAGTAGGGTTTTAGAGGGTTTAGCTGTTGAGATTGGACATTTCGTTTGAGGTCTACATTTTATTATAACAATTCATTATCGAAAATTTAGTATGGTTTCTTTAATACTGACAGATCCATATGTGATTACTTTTTCATTGCCATTTATGTCTCAATATTTGACTGAGCTGCAGTCCGGAAGTTTTTCTGTTACCTAAAGGTAGCTTATCGAAGCCTTAGAAAGGTTTTTTTATTTATTTATTTTTTTGCTTGTTTTTCGTGTGCTGGTCCTGCACCTTCTCTATAACAAGAGGGAAGCTAGCTGACGGCCAAAATGGGCGTAACAGACCAAAGTCCTTTTCGTTTCGTTAATAGCTCTTTTTTGTTCCAATTTTTTTGATGTACATAGTTTTTACTTGATTCTTCTAAAATCAAAGAACGATTTTACCCCTGCGTTTTTTTTTCTTGTTTTTTTTCTTCTTTTTTGTCCTGCATTTTCTCTCATTTTGTGGCTCCTTTTGTATTTTATTTTTTGACACATAATGTCTAGTAACTCCAACATTAAAAATTTGTAGTTGGAATGTGAGAGGGATACACAATCCTATTAAGAGAAAGAAAATTCTTAGCTTTCTAAAGAAAGAACAGGTCCATATAGCCCTATTACAAGAAACCTATTTATCGTCTGCTGAGCACGCTAAGTTAAAACATGACTGGGTCAGACAGGTGTTTAGCTCTGCTTTTACTACCAAAAGCAGAGATGTTGCCATCCTAATTAATAAATGTTTACCCTTACTTGAAGTTAAAACGGTCTCAGACAAATCAGGAAGATATATTATGTTAAGAGGCTCTCTTTATAGGCAAGACATTTCAGTTTTAAATATATATTTTCCACCTATTCAGACCACAGATTTTATTTCTAAGGTTTTTTCAAAATTTGCGGATTGGCTTTGTGACAACACAGTTATAGCAGGTGATTTTAATTGTTTTTTTCTCCTCAGTAGTAGATAAATGTCCTTCAACACAAAATCATGGTCAGATGTCGAATAGAGCCAAAGCTGTTTTGGATACCTGCAAAGAACTTGATCTGGTTGATACTTGGAGGGTGTTACACCCTAATGATAAGGAGTTTACATATTATTCAGCCGTTCATAAAACCAGTAGTAGAATTGACTTGATCTTCACCCCCAAAATTTCTTTTAGTAAAGTTGAGTATTGTAATATTGGGGATATTTTGATATCCGATCATGCACCTGTCTGTATAGGCATAAATTTCAGTAACTTGACACTCCCTAAACAATGGAGGTATAATTCATACCTAAATTTTGACCCTAATTTTGAAGGTTTTTTTAACAGAACAGATGAATCACTTTTTTGTAGAAAACAAAACTCCGGGTGTTTCCCCAGGGTTACTTTGGGATACAGCAAAAGCAGATGCTCGAGGTTTAATTATATCATATTCAGCTGGGCTTAGGAAAAAAAGTAGAAGAGAACAGAGAAACTTAGAGCTCAAACTACATGATCTACAGGCCAGATATAATTTGTCTCCCTCAGATGAACTAAGATGTGACATACAAATAACAAAAACTGCATTGGAAGCGATACTTACGAAAAAGGCGGAGAAATCAATGTTCTTTGTAAAGCAAAGAATGTACGAATTTGCTAATAAACCTAATCGCTATTTGGCTAATCTTTTGCGGGTTAGGACATCTACTCAAAATAAACCTTGTATTAAAGATTTGAATGGTTCTTTGAATTATAATAATAAGGAAATTAATAATAGTTTTAGAATCTTTTTTGAGCAATTGTACACATCTCAATTTAATTATAGTGCGGAAATTAATATGGAAGCTTTTTTTTTACAAACCTATCTCTTCCTCAAATTTCAAATGACCAGAGAAAGATATTAGACGCTCCATTAACTCTCAGTGAATTTAAGAATTGTATTCAATCTTTCCCTAATAACAAGGCACCAGGTCCTGATAGTCTCAGTGCAGAGTTTTATAAAAAAGTTTGTCAGTATTTTATCTGGCCCGTTACACTGTTAAAAATTGTCCCGTTAAAAAACAGTAAAATACTGGCAGCTGCAGTTGCCAGCAATGTACTGTTATTTTACAGTATGTTGATGTAAAAATACATGGACTACATTGATTTACACAATACTCAAGTGAACTCATTCTGCTCACTGAAAGCAACTGCCTCAAATTCGCCAACTGCTGAATGAGTTTATGAAGTAATGTGCTATATATGCTTAGAAGCATACTTATAATGATAACTTATTTTAGTTAATTGGATAAGTTCGTTTTAATTCTAATGTCTTATTTTTCACAACAGCACACATACATGTAAATCTGGAATCACCAGATTCTGACTGCATCAGCAACTAAACAGCCGCTTTCTTTAAATAAAGAAACATACAGAATAACATCAGCAGTTCATTGTTCATCTTTAACTCATACACTGGCTCTACTCTCCTCCACAACGGTGACAGACAGAAGAAATTAGCTTCAGGTTTTACAGTAAAATACTGTTTTTTTCCTTGTTTTAACTGTAATCTACTGGCAGCTGTGGTTGCCAGCAATCTACTGTTTTTTTACAGTCTACTTCCGTAGTTTAAATTAACAGTATATTACTGTTAAAATACATTTTTACACTGTGTTTTTACCTCTCACACCTTTAACCCTTTAAACCCCAGAGCAAATACTTCAGTTTTAATTGAAGTGTCCACACTAATGAGTGTTCAAGAAACATGTAGCAAAGCTGAAGTAAATTCATTAATTAACTGACTAATTAAATGATAATTGAGGATTAACAATGAACAAATGAAGAAATACTGAAGGGAAAAAACAAGAACAGAACATACAAAACTTTAGTCACAGCTTTATAATGAAATAACCTGAAGAACAACAAATGATTAAATCATTTAAATGATCAGCGGATGATTAAACAACTCTACAAACATCATCACCAGCTACACTTATTACTTAATACATGTATTTTTGTATAACATCTACTAAAGTTCTTCTTGAGAAAAAAAAGTGAAAGTTTTACGTCACCATCATGGAGAACAGAGTTTGCTTTAGTTGGGCTCTTAGTCCTGTCATTTTTAACATTTATATATTTTGGCTGCTGCAATTGTTAAGAACTTTGTTTAAAAAGCTCTTTTGTTGTGGCAAGTCAGCCAAAAACCTAAATAAGATCTGGGGATGTTCATGTTGCTATTAAATGGCAGAGTCTGTTCTCATTTCATATAATAAAATTTACTGCTGCTATTCAATGTTAAATCTATTGTTTTACATTATATGTCTATATATGGCAATGATTATGGTGTAAATCGCACTCAAATAGACATCAATAATCAGCATATGAACCTCAATAATGGTGAAAACAAATTTAACAAAATTTAACATAATTAACAGTTTAACTCACAAACAGGCAACTGAAAGTCTAAACATAAACAACAGCAGAATCAAACACAAATAAAGAAAACTGTTAGACCATCATACAACATTTATTTACACCGCAATGCATGCTGGGATATTTTTACCGTGCCACTCCCAGCATGCATTGCAGCATGAAACATTTTAATTGTTACCATTGTTGAGATACAAGGTCAGATTCATGAGGTCTGAGTGTGTATTTGTCATAATTGAACTGTCTTGTATGTTATTTCTTAACTGTTAAGTATTTATGGAGGTATCTTTTCTGATCTATTTCTCATTAATTAAATTAATACCTGCAAGTAAGCATAAAATCTTTTGCATGTGGCCCTTCATCCAGATTTATAACAAAACATTTATCAGAACTAATTTCAGACAAATAGATTTCTCTATTTATTGACTTCCCAACTTGATTGCTATAATACAAGCACTTTGTTAACTCTTTATTATAGTAATTGGAGAGTCTGATTTAATAAGTTCAAGGGTGAAGAGCCCAACTAAACCAGCCCCATTACGGTGACACAAAAAACACCTTAATTCCTGTTGGATCTCAATGAGAATAGTATGGAAGTCAAATCAGTCAGTAATAAGTGTGTGTCTGCTGTTGTTTGTGGAGTTGTTTAATGATCCTCTGCTGAGACTGAAGGTGTTTTATTTTATTTGATTTTATTTAATGTTGTAACTCAAGTCACTGTTTGTGTTTCTTGTTTCTTTTCTTCAGTAATTGTAATTATTAACAGCAGGTGTTCATCAGTGTCTGAATTCACTCATTAGTGTTCATTAAAACTGTCAGGTGAACTATATTAGTTAACTAGTGTATGGAATAGTGAACAAGGACACAAAGCGTGATTTCAAACACAGACTTCAAAACATCGAATCTGAACTCTGTTAGCTCACAGTTTTCTGCAGTTGGTTACTTTCTCGAAAACAAAAATGTTACCCAGAAAGCACTGTTTTTAACAGAATATTACTGTTTTAGTGAAAAAACATTATTTTACCGTAGAATCTGACCGTTTTTTAACAGCAATTTTTTACAGTGTAGGTCACCAAGTTTAAAGACAGGGGAAATTAGAGTGTCAGGTTAGCCTATGGCAAAGTCCCACTAAAGCAAAGGCTTTGGAAGTGCATTTGTTGCACAACAAAACAAACGATCAAAGCATCCCACATTCGTTTTCACCATGCATGTAGACTTTCCAGTTGACCCAGCAGCACCTCCCACGATTTGCTAAATCCATCCACATGCACCATTTGGAATCGTGAAAAGCCTTTTGTCTTTTTTCATTTCTGTACTTTTACCCACGCACTAAAACAGCAATATGGAGCACTTCACGGATTTGCGTGTCATCCTTTCGCCTCTTGCGGGAGAATCTTCGGTTCCCTTCCCGTTCCACAGTTCCACTTTCCCTTCTTCCTGATTGGCCCGACGTCTGGCTCGGGATTGGTCGACGGAAAGTTCCACAAAGCGTGCTTCCGAATTTGGTCATGTCATGTAGCGTGCCGTTGGCTCTTTTGAGAAAGTTCCACTGAACGTGCGCTCCGATTGGCCGCTGGGCGGGACCTCCAGGAAGCGCGATTTATAAAGCGGTGCAGTGGATAGAGGAAGTTAAAAAAGGAGACAAAATAGACTATAAAGACGACAAGCTTTGTTGTAAATGTTTATTTTGTTTGACAAAAAATAGATATATACATGTATATGTTTTAGGGCTTTATGATAGCATAGAAAATCGCGATTATTTCTAAAATAACATTTCCCTAGAAAAATGCATTTTTTTCTGTGTTATTAAATCATTTACTTAATAATATTAAGTGGTTGAAAATATTGTTCAGATGCAATTAACTCTAATTCTAAAAATTATAAGTCTAAAAACACTTTCAAGGTGCAAACATTTAGTCTTTAAAACAACTAAGCAAAATAAATGTTTATTTTGTATAAAACAAATATAAATATACATGTACAAGTTGTAGGGCTTTATGATAGCATAGAAAATGCTATTATTTCTAAAATAACAATTCCCTACAAAAATGCATTGTTTTATCTGTGTTATTAAATCATTTACTTAATAATATTAAACAGTTAAAAGATATTGTTCAGATGCAAATAACTAATTTTAAAAATTAAGTCTAAGTCTAAAAACACTGTAAAGGTGCAAACATTTAGTCTTTAAAACAAATAGGCAAGATATTTTGACTCTTATTGGCTGTTGTCATTTTCTTTTTTTTCTTCTTAACTTCTGCTATTAGTGTTTATTTACAGCTCTGGGTTATGCTTTGAGCTGCTCTAGCAAATAGCCGAGCAGCAACTACTGGGAAGGTAGTTTATAAAATAATAATTTATCATATGTTTGTGATTTTTTTTTTTTTTAAATATTGCATAAACTGTTGTGATAATAAAATAATTTTACGCTATATTGTACTGCCCTAATATGTTAAAAGTATAAATGGTTATATATTTTGTGTAAATAAACATTTTTCTATTTTATTTCTAATCTCTGTGTACATTTCAGCTTTTTTTTTTAAAGATTTGTTCAGTAGCTACAGTGTCCCAAGAGTGGGTTATCTGTTGTGACTCGAATAACTTTACACAATATTTATATTACACTTTACATTCATCATTTTTTCTATTCATTTATTGCAAACAAGTGTTAAAGGATAAAATAAAACTTGCAAAAATACACTGCGTACATATTCATGTGGTTGCTTTAATGTTATCATTGTGTAATTTAAAGGATGGTAATATTAGGGTTCTGTTTATTATTCATAAACAAGTTATAAACTCTAGTTTAGCTAACAGTTAAAATAAAAATGGTATAAAATTATATTGTAAATTAAATTTAAGTAAATGTTAAATGTAAATGCAGTAACACCTAAAAATAATATGTGTATATGTAAATATAACTGTAAACATTGATGTAAATGAAATATTTTAAAATATATTTAATTGAATTTTTAAATAATTTATTAAACTTTAAAAAAATGACAAACCTATTTAAATATCAATGCCTGAAATTTAAATTTGAAAGTATTTTAATGTAATATTTCTTATATCCTACAACCTAATATTTTAGGTACTATATATAGTTTAATCAGTTGTTTAAATATTTTATTATGTGTTATTTAATATTAATAAATAAGTTACCTGAACATTACGGTCAATATAATTGACAAAATTCTAAAACATTTAAAAGTCAATATTTCAGTATGTTTATTATTGAACTATTAAAAAATATTATATTTCTTAAAAGGTGTGAAATATAAGTCCTGATTATAAAAACATTTTATCTAACTCACATGCAATTCAAATAAAGCTATATTTAGTTATGTTGCAAATAAACATACAATTATATTTGAATATAATGTAATACATTTATTAAAAAATAATACTTATTATTATGTTACTCAATTCATTTAAAATGGATTTTCTTTTTCAAATTATGTAATAAATGATATACAATGAGAGCAGTCTACAGCACATGGCTAATTAATATGCACCTGTCATACCCCAGAAAGCACATGGCTAATTATGCCAGTTCCCGCCTTTGATTTTTTTACCATATTGGGTAATTTCATTAATTTCAGCAAGCATGAGCACCTGTCGAGGTCTCAGGTGACCCCAGTGGGGTTCAGGGGTCACTACCTTGCAGGTCT